CTTTTCATATTTATTTGTTATTAACTGTATTGCTATGGACTGGCACGATAATGGCATTGCACTTAATTTTTGTGATGTTGCATGTTGCTGTCTTGTACAGCCATGGCAGGTAATACTTCTGCTTTCCAAAACCTCTGGAAGTGTTTTGTTGAATGATGTCCACATACATTAAGTTAGTCTTCTAGAGGGAATTCAGGTAGTGTAAACTTTGCACGATCTAGTTAACTATTTTCAAATCTGACTTATGCTCTCTGTGAACATTTTGCATATTTTTGATTGCTAAAATACATTAATGAAGGTTGGGAAGAGTTTCTGCTGGTTGAGTCTTAATATATTTTGACATCTTATTTACAGCTGAAGAGTTTATCACTGCCTTGTATGAAATCTTCCAGGGACTTGCTACTTAACATCCTGAAAAATAGATGATGGAACCTGTTTTGACTCCCTGAGAAGAAAAGAGCAACTGTTTGGTTCACTTGTGTAGAATTGATCCCTGAAACCTTCAAACAGATACTTAACGATACTTGTCTGTATGTGCATTCAAAGTCGTTTAGTTTAAATCTCATGACGTCTTACTCTGGAAGCTGCTACACATCCTGGGCTGCTTTGTGGAGCATGTTTAATGCTAGTTAGACCCAGTCTTTCTGTGGCCCTAAGGGCTTTGTGGAGCTGGCTGTCAGACTGTTGAGTGGCATTTAAAAGTGTGTAAGTCTGGTGTTCCAGACTGATGATAAGGAGCATCTGTTGTGAGTTGGGAATAATACCTACCCTGTCCTAGGGTTCATTAATTCCAGGAGAGTTACAAACTGATGACAGGATGGTGTTTTCTACAGACGTGCTCAGGAATTAGGCATGGTTATAAGTACAGGGCATTGCAGAGCTCAACCACGTAACATTTGTGGTGCTGCAAAACTATTAAGTTAATCATCTTGTAAAATAGAATGCAAAGAACTGGGTTTTTTGAAATTATTTTACAATATTTTAAAAATATTTTTCTGTCAACATTCTTCTCTTTTCTTGAACAGTTTGGCCTTGCACTTGTCATCTCTGCTTAGTTGCATGCTAGACTGCTCATCATATTTTGTGTTTTCTGTGTCTAAAGTTTAAAAAAAAACCAAAACACAAAAACATTCTAATGTATGCTAACAAAAATTTGGCATTAGATGGCACGATACTAATAATTATAAAGTCCACATCTTTACTACTTCTGGCTTGGTGTAAGACACAAAAGGCAATGGCAAGATGTCTGTATTGCCAGTGTATTGTGGTGGGAAGCCCCTGTGGTAAGTCCGGCCGTGGGAAGGAGAGGACCACGCTCCCTGGCCTCCTGCCCGGCCATGACCTAGCCACCACTGTGTCTCGCAATGTGGTGGTGGGAGACAACGTGGCATGACTGCAGTTTGGTCGTGGTCACCTCACGGGTGCTGTTTCTAGTCGGTCAAGGAGGAGGAGAGCAGGGAGCAGCCTATCCAGCTTGCTGTCAGCGTGGCCCAGCCCACAGGTGAGGCTCTGCTGTTGATAGGCAAAAATATTTTCAAAGACAATCTTAATCATAGAATGAATCGTAGAATCACAGAACGATTTGGGCTGGAAGGGACCTCAAGGATCATCTAGTTCCAACCCCCCCTGCCACAGGCAAGGACACCCTCCACTAGACCAGATTGCCCAAAGCCCCATCCAACCTGGCCTTGAACACTTCCAGGGAGGGGGCATCCACAACCTCTCTGGGCAACCTGTTCCAGTGCCTCACCACCCTCACAGTAAAGAATTTCTTCTTAACATCTAATCTAAGTCTCACTTCCTTCAGCTTGAAGCCATTACCCCTTGTAAGGGTAAAAGTCTTCCTGACTTTCACCAGCAATTGGTGGATGTTGTCTCAAGAAGTGGTTACCCTACTGAAAACAGAGTAATAATAAAAATAGCAAAAACACTGGTTTGATCACTGTTGGTGATGATGTCTGGTTTTCTTGTCCTAGGAAATATTTGAGCAAAAGCCAAGTGTAGATGTGCACTCATTTAGTAATGATTTTCCCATTAGCTGTGTGCAACTTTTCAAAAATTTGCAGAGAAACCTATTTGGTATATCATAAATATTGTAAAAACGAGACTGTCAGTTTAGTTGCATGTGATTACCTACCTTGATAACATTTTCTTACTCTTGCTCTGAATTCCAGTGCATTTTTCTCCCTTAGATATGGTAGAATTGTACATTCCCAATCTAAACTGAGAAATATATTAGCCTACCCAAACTCCACTGCTTCGTGGCTGTTTTGCTGGTTTTGGCAGGGACCGCACAGCAGGCTGAGAGGGTGCCAGAAGCTCCAAGGGGTCCCCGGGGTCCCACCTGTGCTGGTGCACACCCACTGTATGGAATCCATGCGTGGAACAAGGGTGACAGACAGGTCACACCTACCCGCCTCATCGTTGGTGGCCTGGTGCAGACCAGCCCTCGAAGCTGTGGCATTTGTACCTGGGCACAGGAGTGGTGGAGCCTGACGTTTCAGAGAGCTCTCGGCACTGTCCAGGGACGTCTGTTGGTTGATAGTGAAGCATTAAACTCTGCAGTTAAAATGCAGTGGCTATTAAATTCTGTGAGGAATTACTATTGCAAGAGGACGACACTTCTCGTTTATGTTTTTGTCGTTGTGGCTGGTATTGTTTGCCTTTTCTGTTTTTAAATTTCTTCCTGAGCTTTAAAACCTGTTCCATTTTAATACGCAAAGCAAAGCTCCTAAGTTGTCCTAGAATAGGTAGACTGGGTAGAATAGGTTTCAGTAGGGTAGGAGAGAGGGAAATAAGGCAATAGAACATACATAGACATCTCTGTAGGGTTTTCCTTTGTGTCACTTTACACATGAAATTTGAATAATGGTTGGACTTTCTATTTTTTTCCTGGTATTCTGCCACTGCTTTTTTCCATTAATTATCTCATTTCCGACCCCCCCCACCCCCTTGTTTTCTATGATCTGATCATCCAACTCGCTCCACAGATTATAATGAATGATTGGATCTTTTGGCTTTATGTGTTTCATGGCACAGATTATATGCCGTGAAAGGTTTTACTCTCAGTATCAGGTGTTGAGTACAGGGATACTTGGAACAGTGAGTAGAGCTACAGCTGAAGAGCAGGTAAACTGTTTTCCCTTACTTGTGAGACTTCTGCTTTAGTTATTTGTGCAAAGATTTACACCAGTCAAGGTCCCATCAGAGAACTACCCTAACTGGTTGGAGTGGCCTGAATTCTAATGAGTAACCTGCGCTTTGTAAGGCTTGAGCAGATAGTGTCGTAGACATGGAAGTGATGAAAAAGGTTTATTGAAGTGATAGAGATCTGTGCATGATGAGTCAGCAAGATGGAATGAAGGGGAACTTTTTATTTAATGGGAATGGATGCGAGTCAAGGGTTCTGTAATCTCATTTCTAATAATCTTCAGCCGAGAAACTTGTACTTAAATTTTATTGGAAGAGAAGTTTTGTTTAGTTAGTAAGCAACTTGTTTGGGGGAAATAACTGAAAAATTTAAAATCTAGATGGAGACAAAAGCTTCTGCAATGTTGGCAAGAACTCGATCTGAATGTTACACGGTGTTTGAGCTGAGTATTACTGGAGCAGACGTGGGGATTTGGTTAATTCATTAAGTAGGTAATGTCTTTCCTGTTAGTGACATCTTAGGTCTTTCCTTGGAAGCTCTTATTAACTGGAATAAAATATGCAGCCCTGTAAAAAAAAAAAAAAAAAAATGCAGTTTATCATTTTGGCATGTTATGGTTCTCAGCTGAAAACTTACAAAGATAAATCATACTTCATACAGAGACAATAGTGGTCTAGAATACAATATCGTTATCTGGAGTGTTACAGTCTAGAATATTAGTAGGATATTATGGTCTAGAATACAATTTTACAATTTTCTGTGTGTAGTTGTCTTCAGAAGAAGACTTTTGAATGAGTAGTAACATAACTCTTTTTAAATGAACAGCATTATCTCATGCTATAACCACATTATGTTAAAACAAACTATATGTATTTTATATATATAAAATAATTTCTATTTGTTTCCATAATCAAATAGAATTGTATAATGTGGTTGAATCGCAACCATTCCTATGGTCATGTTGACTGTGAAGTTTTTAATGTGAATTTTTAGCAAACAAATCAGAAGCCTTATTAAAAGTTCCACTCTAGGAGTTAACTGGCTGCTTTACGTTCTAAAATGGCAACTGATTTGCTCTAGAGAGAGAAATGTAGTGTTGGATTTTTCCATGCAGCTAACTCACCTACTGAAATAATAGTACTGGAACAGTTGAGTATGGCTGCATGCATCAGGATAGAGAGGGATTTCAATCAGAACAGCAGGAGGAAAAAGTGAAGGGAGCTAATTGTTAACTTGGGAAATTGGAGGAAGCTTATATGGAAAAGTACATTGATAGTGCAACATAATATTGTTCAAATAAATCCTTTGCCTCATGGTGGAAATATGCAAGTTTTTTAATATTTCCCATTATCTGTTCATACAGTCTGGGTTTATCCTTGAATAAAAATACATGAAATATATCCGTTGTGTTTTAATTAAAATAAATAGAGCAGAATAGGATTTAACATGAATGCCTAGTGAACCTGATGAGTTCATGATCCAGCAGTGCTTTGCAGATTAGTTGCTGTCTAATGCCATTAATTCATTATTTTATCTATAAAGTTTGGCCCTGAGCTTTTAATAAATTAATCAATCAGACTGGGACCACTTGAAACAGTTAAACTTGAAACCTCTAGATTGTTGATCTCATATATGACCTAAATTAATGCTTACCTAACCTATAGTGCTTCTTATTGGTAATGCAAGCAATAGGTTTAATTGTGTTCTCTAACTGCTGTTGCTTTTAAGGTCTGTTTGATTTCAGAGGGATTCATTTGTTATTCCATTACAGCACAGTAGCCCAAAAGCCTAACTGTAGTTTGTTTTCTGTAAGGATATACAATGTTATAACTTTCTGTAATATCCACAGGTTTTAGGACCTGCCCCAAAATGGTGTTCCTTCTTGGACAACTTGACTGAAGAACTGGAAGAGAATCCAGAGAGCACAGTTTATGATGATTACAAATTTGTTACCAGAAAAGATCTTGAAAATTTAGGTAAAACAATTTACTATCCTCTTTAGCTCACTTCTTTGTTCAGTTTTTGACCATTTACACATGTAAGTCTTGTAATTCCTATGTGACATATGAGGACTGTTAGAAATTCACTGACAGTAGTTTCCTGCAGTCTTCTTGGTTATTAATATACCAGACTGATGGCTTTATGTTCTTTGGTTCCCAACCAGTGCAAGACTGGATATTTGTGTTTCTCAGATTTTTATCCCAAGATGATGATTGATATTTGCTGATTTAATATGTCTAGGAATCTCTTGTGTGTGCTTTCAGGCACTAAATGGAAGGCATAGGAAGAGAAGTTTTCAAAATATTTTTGAGGTGCTCAAATAGTGCATTGGAACTCACAGCAAAATCTGCCAAAGGCTATCCTATTTGAATGTAGTAATTTCCAGAAAATACAAATCATTTTACGGCTAATAGAAACACAGTTTCAAGGAATTGGAATGCTAGAAATTACATAGTAGAGATGGTAAGCATGCTTCTCCCAAAGTAGCTAGTCCTTTTTCTGTCTGTTACATGTTTTGATTGCAATGTTTTGCTCCAGTTTAATTAATTTACCTCTGAATATGAGAGTGCGGTTTGGCCTGGCAGGAGGCCATACAAGGAGGAGATCATCGAAAGCATCTTCAGCATTAGAGTTCTAGGGTAGATGGTCTGAATGTAGCTTACAGACCCCTATCCCAGTCATTATGGAATAAGGCAAAGTAGTATTATCTACACAGACACTTGACTGGGAATACTTATTCTGCTTTAAATTCACTATAACTTAGAATCATAGAATTATTTTGGTTGGAAAAGACCCTTAAGATCATCAAGTCCAACTGTTAACCTAACACTGCCAAGTCCACCACTAAACCATCTCCCAAAGCACCACAGCTACATATCTTTTAAATCCCTTCAGGGATGGTGACTCAACCACTTCCCTGGGCAGCCTGTTCCAATGCTTGACAACCCTTTTGGTGAAGAAATCTTTCTTAATATCCAATCTAAACCTCACCTGGCACAACTTGAGGCCGTTTGCTCTCATCCTATCACTGCTTACTTGAGAGAAGCGACCAGCACCCACCTGGCTACAACCTCCTTTCAGGTAGCTGTAGAGAGCAATAAGGTCTCCCCTCAGCCTTCTTTTCTCCAGGCTAAACAACCCCAGTTCCCTCAGCTGCTCCTCATGAGACTTGTTCTCTAGACCCTTCACCAGCTTTGTTGCTCAAACTTAATCAAATTAATTTCTCCATAAATGCAAGCTTTCAAATGAAGAACCAGCTTAAAGGTTATTTTGTATTTCGTATGTCAGGGTTTCTTTGTATTACTAGCCATTAGCTGGAATACTCTCATTTTGGAATATGCAGGAAGATTGTTTCCTAGAAACAGGTAAAAAAAAAAGTTCTAGTGACAACTTTGCTTTCTGACCTGCAGCTTTTCTCACATCATTTCCCCCCACCCCACCCCGTTTAGTCCTAAAAGAAGTTTGGTAATTCTTAGTTTCTAAGGATTTGAGGTCTGTAGAGGATATTTTGCTATTAAAAGATTTTTCTTTTCTCAGTCTTGGAATTTTGTGAAGATACATGGAAGGAAAATTAGAGAACTCCTAAGTATTTTTATTCCTACTCAGGTTAGGGCCTAGGGTGACAGTTTTATGACCTGATGTGGTACTGTATTTTTTTTTTTCCCCCCAACATGTTGATTCTTCAAAGATAGTGACCCAAGGCAAAACTAATTAAAAACATCTCTATACAACACTAAAAAAAGTGATTGTCAAACATCTATGGACTTTCCAAAAGAATCCTCTCGAATTTTTCTTTGTAAACCTTTCTGGAGCATAGTGCATCTGGGCATTTCTTAAAATTGCACAGTGACATGTATTATGATAAGAAAAATGGATTGAGTTGCTCTGAAGCAGCTCAAATTTCTTGCTGGCCAAACCAATTTTTTTTTTCTTGTGGTTTTACTTGGTCTTGGTGTAATGGATGTGACTGTTAGAGTGATGTGTTGCGTTGGCAGTGCATGTTTGTCTTGGATCGGGTAAATGAAGTGGCTAACTTGGAATAGGAGTTCTTTATATATGAAAGCTCTTTGAAATCCTCTGTAACTTTTTTTTCCCAGGCCTTGCTCATCTTATTGGATCATCATTGCTCAGAGCATATATGCATGGCTTTTTCATGGACATAAGACTTTATCATAAGGTAAATAAGGCTGATCCTTGTCAATTTTTACTCTTAACAATAAAATATGTGTCTTGGGTTTGTGGGGTTTTGTGGGTTTTTTGGTTTTGTTTTCTCCAAATAACGGACTGTGTCGTGTATTAATGGTATTTTCTTTTTACTTCCTCCTGCTTGTTGAAAGGCAAAAATGATGGCCAACCCCTTTGCCTACGAAGAATACAGAAGAGAGAAAATAAGGCAGAAGATAGAAGAAACACGTGCACAGAGAGTTCAACTAAAGGTAAATCCTGTTAACAATGAGTATGCTTCTGGGAAAGCTATTCATAATGAGCAATGCATTCTTAAGTGTATCTCAGAGATGTAATGACTTAGGATTTGATTCTGTTTATCATCAGAGACACCAAGTAATTTGTAGAACTTTTTGAATGGAATTGTAAAATTCCCATGCGTGTGATTCCCACAGATGAGAAAGGTGGATATCAAGCAGTAAAAGAGCAGGCCTCATCACATTTGCCACTTGAGCAGATAGCCCACTGGTAAAACTTGCAGTTTCTACTTCTGTCATTAAACTAACTGATTTAAGCCATTAAAACATAATACTCTGGAAAGAAATATATAAAAATAGTATTGTGTTTATAACTAGTAGCTTTCTGGATTGAATTTACTCAACCTACAAGGAGAAATAATTGGTTTTAAAGTACTAAAGCTGATGCGTTGCAAGTGAAGAACAATACAGAAGTCCTGCTTAAATTTTCTCCCAGCGCTGTTGCTTTACTAGTAGCTAGAAATATTTGGAACCAGTCAAAGAGCTTTTCAGTGAGAGTTGCAAGAATGAATAAGAATTCTCTCTTCACCACTCTTACAAATGTAAAGCATGTAGGTTTTGCTTGTGTAAAAGATTAATTTACTCATTAATTGTTTTCCTCTCTTTAGAAACTTCCAAAAGTCAATAAAGAGCTTGCACTCAAACTGATTGAAGAAGAGGAGGAGCAACAGGTTACTAGAAAAAGGAAACAGAAGGTGAGCTTTTGTTTTGGGGACTTCTCTAACTGGGAGCACATAAATAGTAATGCTTACAGTACTGAATTTCTTGTTGTTGGGATGTGGGTTCTTTGTTATCTGGCCAAACACATTGAAAATTCCATTGTTTCTGTTTCTCATAAATAACTTCTTCTAGTAGGTGGCTTTAAGGTGTGGACTTCACTGTAGCTGCAGCACCAAAAAGGCCATGTAGTAACTTAAAGCTTAAAATGATGAAATACTCACTGTGAAGATGATATGGGTTTCATAGGACTCCAGAAGCTAGCTAAATGCAGAGTCAATACCAAAGTTGTTCCAAAAAGATTTTGATGGTGACCATGACAAGATAGATGTTACCTGTAAAACTGAAGATAGAATTGCCTGTCTTTGTGTAAACAGCAACAGGAATTCTTCCTGATGTTGAAAATAATCCGATTTTTGTCATAAGTGAAGTCTAAAGGGAAAAAAAGAGTTAATGTTTAATGTCTGGAGGGGTGGGGGACGCAGACTTTCTATAGGTAGCGCTTCATAGATGCTCATTCTCACAGCACTATAGCATTCCTGAAAGGCAGACATTAGCTTCATGTGGCATCTAATGATATCCTGTGTGTTACAGTTAGTAGGAAGCATAAACTACTGAAAAAGTAGGTAGTGGTAAAACCTTAAATGCAGACTAGGCCAGTGCTGAGATGGAAATAGGAGTTCAATACATGGGGGCTGATTTGTGTAGGAGCACATATAGATTGTGTTATTAAGGGAATAAAAAGACTATGCATAAAAATCCATGTCCTGGTTATTTTCCTGAAATGGCATTAGAGTCTTATGAAGAGCAATTTATTTTAGGCTTTGGGATTTAATTTTTGGCTGTGTGACTGCAAGTTACACATTTGCAACAGTTTCTGTGTTTGAAATTTACACTTGTTGTTGTTTCCTCTATCTTTTTTTTTTTCCCACTTCTTAGGTAACAATGAAAATTTAATGCTGGGGTGGGATGAATGTGCTGGGATAAGTTTGGCAATGTTGAAAGATCAGCTTTTTATAACAGAAAGCTATGTATTCAATGATGTTAAAATGACAAGAACAGGTATTCACGTAAGCTGAAATTGTAGCTTGAACTGTTCCTAATTCAACAATAGCATAACTTACAGTGAATTCATTTTACTTTGACATGAATGAAACTGCCTTTTCTGTTCTGTGGGCAAGGGCAGTAAAATAAAGTGTTATAAGATGTATAGAAAAACTTGCTCTTATGTATTTACAGTAAAACAGTAATAGCATTGCATAAAGACATGTTTACCCTGATAATTTGTTATACATGTTATAGAATCATCCCTGTAAGGCAGAGTATTTGCCTCGGAGGTACTGCTGATTAGTCAATAGATATCAACACATCTCCAGACAAGCTGGCTGAATGTATGAGAAACATTAATTCAAAAATATTAGTAATTGTGTATTTAAGGTATCTATAGTGTGCATAAAAACCCTGTCTTGCTTACAGGTAGCTTAGAATGATATTTATTTGATCTTTGTGAAAGTAATAAAATATAATAAGCATAAATCTTAAGTTTATATGACCTGGAAGGATAAAGCAACCTGCATTTCACATGTTGGTTTTGGGTTTTGTTTAATTAAAAGGTGTTACTGACTTTACCAATGGCTGTTTCAGAATTTTATAACTCACTCATACTTTGCTTCTTTTCCAGAACCTGCCTAGCCTTCTCAAAGATGATCGTTTTAAGGTCATGTTTGAGAATCCAGATTTCCAGGTGGATGAGCAGAGTGAAGAATTTAGGCTACTTAACCCACTTGTTTCTAAAATAAGTGAGAAAAGAAAGAGGAAACTAAAGATCTTAGAGGAACTAGAAGCACAAAACCAGGTAAAATATTTTCCATTTTGATTAGGAAAAATGCATAGTTCGTTGGGTTTTTTCTTTGTGAAACATTCATATTTTTCCCCCTAGAAAGAAGGAAAGATGGAGGCAATGCAAGAATCTCTTATCAGCTACAGTAATTAAGTGCAATTTGTAATGTTATCCTAGTTTTTAGACGTGACCAATATTGTGTCTACATGAATATACCTTTGAAAAACATAAAATATGTAGGTGGAAACAATTTTATAATATATCTTCTGCTTCATTTGCTGTTACTGCTTTTGTTCAAATTTTAGTTCTCTTCAACTGTATCTATGTAAAAGCTGTCACGTACTCTTAATTGCAGGAATAGTTTGAAAAGAAAATTAGTTGATGATTTCTTAGTTTATACTATTTTTGTCTGCAGGAAGAGGAGGAAGAACCAGAAGGAAAAGCAAGTGATGCAGAAAGTTCTGAGAGTTCAGATGATGAAAAAGGCTGGGTTGAAGAGGTCAGGAAACAGCGCAAGCTTCTACGCCAAGAGGAAAAAGTAAAGCGGCAGGAAAGGTTCAAGGAGGATCAGCAAACATTACTGAAACCTCAGTTTTTTGAGATTAAAGAAGGAGAGGAATTCAGAAGCTTCAAAGACTCTGCCAAAAAACAAAAATTAATGAAGTAAGACTAATGTTCCTATTTTAATAGCTGGGGGTGGACAATTCTCAAGTATTTCTCTACAACACAGGCCAGTGGCGTTTTGGCTTGGAAGCGCTTAGTAAAGCCACATCTGGCAATTCAGGGATATATTTTAAAGCGACATCATTGTTGAAAGCTTTGTTTTGTAGGTTAAAAAAAAACAGCAAAGTTTAAAGTATGGCAGAGAGACAACACAAATGAGATGAGTAAGAGATTAATATTCTGAGCCAGATTTGGGGATCCATTACTAGTGTTGGTGAACTGCTGCTCTCACAAATAACATCGCTGATGGCTGAGAGACTCATTATATTTCTCCACCAGTGTCAGTATGAGGTTGACAGTCTGGCTGTTTTTTATCTGACCCTCTAAAAGGACGTAGAATGCTGCATGACTAATTACTGTTTTGGGGGTAGGATCAAGGTGGTAAAAGAAAAATTGTGTTGTCTGGTTATTTTTATGGCATCCAGAAACTCTCAGAAAACTATACTGTCCTTACATCATCCAGTCTTACTAGTTTTGGTTTGGTTTTGGTGTTACTTAGTACAAAAAAATCAGACTTGGGGTTGGGGGGGGTGTTGGGTGATGATTTGGTTTTGTTTGTTTTTTTAATTTGGATTTCCTTAAATTGATGATCAACTGAAGTAATCGGGTACTGTATAAAGAGCCTGTGAAACTGAAGGACTTGGCTTTGAGGTGCTTAATGCCAGCAAATCTCATTGATTTATTTTTTTTCAAAGGTGAGTTGAGCCCTTCAGACAATGAGATTTAATAGTCTTTTATTATTTGTAGCTCAGACACTAGTATTAAAACCGTGAAAGACAATAGCTTCAAAGTTCTTGCAGCACACTGGATGCAGGATTTTGACTAATGTTGGAAACAGATTGCTAGGCTAGATGGATCTCGTAATAGCCATTATTTTTTATTTAAAATGAAATGATACAGTCAAAGAAAAGGAAGTGAATAATATATATAATGGGGCTGTTTCTTTATGTCACTAATGACTGACTCTACAATCTAGTTGTTTCATGATGGAAATTTTCTGGAGATATGTCAAGAAACATTTGATAAAATTCAGCCTGTCCCTTAAATCTGTGAGTTTTTAACTGGAATTACCATGTACAGTGGTCTTTAAGTATTACTGAGACAGTGTTTCTACAGTAGTCTATGATTTCCATGTTGTACCTGTAAGAGCTCTTTAAATAGAAGTCTTTATAAATTGGGATTTATAGCAGTTCTGCAGAACTGCTTCCCAAGTTTTCCTTAGCTGTTTTTTATCAGCAAGTGTTTTCACACAGGGATTTTTCTTTGTTCTTTATATTGAATATACCCACTCATTCTGGACTTTGACTTTCTTAGATTTATTTCCCGTACATCCACTCTGTTCTGACTATTTTTCTTTCTTTCTTCCAGAAGATGAAGCAACTTTTTACTTTTGTCAATTTTTCTTCTTTGTCAGGAGAAAATCCCCTCTGGACACTCTCACAGAGTATTATAGGTTAAGGATATTTTTTACATCATTCTTAGATTTATAGTCCTGCTAGCAAGTGACTTGGAAGGAGCCTGAGACGCTGATCAAACGGCACTGTATTCTCATTACCATTGAAATACTTCCCTAAAGGCAGTAAGGCTGCAGCCTACTCACATGCTGTTCTTTTACACAAATTCAGCTGCTGACCTCTAAAGGAAATTCTCAAGGACACTCAATCTGAAGTATTAAGATTTCATTTTGTTCAAAACATGGAAGGTTTAAATGTGAATAAGGATACTGAAAGTTAAGTAAATAAGCCAAGACAGGTGTAAGGAAGAGAAACATTTAGAAAAAATGAGTACAGTGTGACACAGGACAAAGTAAATTCTTTCATCTGGTGTATAGAGGGAGAAAAAAATCATTGCTTCAGCTTGGGAAAAATGAAAGCAAATACCACAGACCTGTCTAGTGGATGAAGGAATATCAGTGATGACATAAACAATGGAAAGAGTTTTAAAGGACTGCTTTTAGGGGAGAAAAAGAATCTGTCTTAAGATTCACTGCTAATTCTCTGCAGAATATTTTGCAAGGTGTGCTGCGTAACTAGGGTGGCTAGGTTAGATACCCTCTGAGTGATAGCTGCACAGATGGGATGTAATGTAAAATGTTAAAAAAAAAAAAAAGAGAGAAAATTGCAGATAAACTAGGATGACCAAAAAAATGGATGTGACAGCATTGCATCCTTTATATTTTTCTGAGTTGCTATCATTGAATTGTCTGTCCTTGATGGTTTTTTTCTTCTATTTTTGTCTAAGCAATTAGCTCTATAACCACTGATCCCATTTGTGCTCATCCAAGCATTGTCCTTAGTATGGAGTTTGATATTCCTCGAATTCTTAGAAGAAATTTTAAAATTAAGAGCTGGTATCTTTTTCTCATAACCTATAGCTGATATGGTTCTGTGATCATAATGACTGATCATAAGTCTGTGTTGTGAGCTAACTTATTTGTTTAATAAGGATTTTTACATATTAGAATTTTATGAAGAAAATATTTAAGTATGTTTTCTGCTGGCCTGATTCAGTGATAAGTAGTCAGCATAAAAATAATTAATTCAAGTAATGTACTGAAAATTGGAAAGACTGTAGTGGCATGTACAATTTGGTGAGGCTGGCATGTTTGTCTTTGATTTGATTTATCCAAGTTATGGAATGATGGTCTGTGACCAATATAATTAAGTACCTTAATACCTTCACTATGCATTTAATGGCTAGGTGTTCTTTTTTTTTTTTCCTCTAATCATATAATGTTCTACCTGAGGAAACAGTTTATGACTTATATAAAACTGGGTGTTTCTTTCAACATGTTCCTGACTCAGCACGGCTCCGAGCCCAGCTTTTAAAGCAGTGGTGCGTACTATGAATTTCTTTATAGACCAACAGTCTGCGCATTTCTTAGCACAGGAAAGCTGCAAAATTTACTCATGATTGTAAAAAAAAAAAAAAAGGCGCCTTGTCTCAAATCCATCCACATTTCATTTTTTCCTTTTGCTCACTTATGCTTACACATGAAAACCTGTAAAACTTTGCTTTCTTTACTTACTGCTTAAGTTCCTTACATGGTAACTTAAAAGGAATCCATAAAAGGAAAGTTTTTATCTGTGTGCTAAGAGCTCTTTTGATTTTACTGATGTCCCTTTAAAAGGTTTGTTATTGAGGTTAGAGCATGTCAGAATTAAAAACCACAGTAGTAGTACTTTATGAAGTATGACAGTCAATGTATATGTCTGCAGAGGTGGCCAAGAAAGTCAACAAAAGCCAACAAAAGCATAGTTGACATTCCGAGGTATTGCTGAAGTAAAACAGCAGGAAAAGTCCTGAAAAACTGCTCTCTTTATAATGAGGAAAAAAGAAGTGCCTGGGCAACCTTTTTGTTTGGTTTTTTACTGTAGGGTAGGGGTTGCTTTTAATAACGTTGTTAATGTAGCCCTTGAATCAATTTGTTGAAGATGGTTTAAAAAAACCCAAAAAACAGCACAACAGCCAACCCAGCTGTTGTGTTTGTGTGTCAGTGTATGCAATTCACTATCATTTGAGGTCTGCACACTTGCAGATAAATATAGCCATACCTGCATTTATTCAGTAAAATTGCAACCCCACAGCATTTTGCTAATATCTCCTCATTTTAATTTTTCTCCTGACTGAAGCAGTATCTAGGCAGTCATGCTAAATAATTGCTGGGTAGTAGCCATATTTCTCCAGTTCACTTTCAAAGGGGAGAAAAATGGGACTTCACTTGAACATAGAAATCCCACCACAATGTCAGTGACTGATCTTCTGCCATAGTTAGCTCTAAGGCTTAGCTTGTCTTCCCGATTCGCACAGATGGAACAAGTTTTTACATGTACTCAATGAAAAATATACTACAGAAAAAAATACAATCAAAGTACCTAGTCATGAGAAATAAAGTAATTCTTGACGGTAATTTTTCATTGTTAATCTGAAAAGTCTTTGTTACATAAAATGGCTCATTAACCAAAATTCAGCGAACTTCAGAGACTTCACGCATCGGCCCTAGTCCGTGAGCCCTTCATCCATAGTAAATGCCATTGGCTTTGGTGGCTGCTAATCGTCTGTATTTTTATGATGACTTATTTTCCACTTTAAGACTTGTACAAAAATGTCTCTTAGCCCTCTTCAGAGAGATCTAATAAGGTACTAATAGCAGCATCTCAGATTGCAGAAACTGAGTTCGTTTATAGTGAGGCGAATGTTTTCCGAGCACATCGCAGAGTAAATTTGATCATGCAAGCCACGTCATATTCTCAGTCGGCACTAACTACTCGTAGGACCCACGTTTAGAAGAAGGACGAGCCATGTTAGGAGTCCCAGGTGCCTTTAGGGACGCTGGCTGACACCAGCACCATCCCTGCCTGCCTCACCCCTGTGCTGGGGGCTATGCTGGAACAAGGTGTATTTCCAGTCCTCAGTCTTCCAGTTTACAACCCGACTTAGCGAAGTCAGCAAGGGTGATGTTAAATACCAGCTCGTAACCTGGAGCAACTGGGGCACGTCCATGTGTCTTGCCTTTGTAGGGGCTTTAACTTCCTGTGGAGGAGAACTGAAAGCAGTATCGGTTTTGGCCACAACAGCTGCTTCCTCCTCCTCCGTAGCAATGCTGGAGGTTGGTGCCCAAGGGAGAGGCTCTACACCAGCTTGCTTGCAGAAACAAACTCACGAGCACCATGAGCTTGAAGGCCTATGCTCACATGGAGCTCCTCTCTGGGGTCAGGGTCTGTCTTACTTATCCCACACACTTCTTTGCGTTGGTCTTTTATTTAGAAAACTATTCGCTTTAGACTGTTGCGGGCACGGTGTCCAAAAAGTCATTTGTATTTGGACTAAGTAGTTTGCCTCTATCAGTGAAGTGGTTCATTTGGTGGTGAATTCATTCTGATTTATAGTCAAGATTATTTTCTTCCCTCAAAAGTGTTTCCAATTCAGAAGTGGTAAGATTTCAAGAAAACTGGATATATCTACCCTTATTTTTTTTGTTTGTGTATGTATCTATTACTGCAGCTGAATATTCCTGGCTTTTTCTAAAATTTCATAGAAACTACAGCAATAGAAGGGTGTGGTTTCTTTCTCAGCCAGACTTCTGTTGCTTTTTTAGCAGAAAAAACAATGAACTTTACATAATGTTTAAAAATGTTTCTACTGAAAGCAGTATCTGGAGGGAATGATTTGAACTTGTGTTTCTTTTCTGTTTACTGAATGTTTATTTTTTAGAGTTATGGCATTTCAAGGTTTCAGAGAAATTGAGATTAGTTTTGACTGCATTATCAGCCTTTATTATAGGAAAAAGATGGCAAGAATAGGAACTAATGTTAATTATTCTCTGCAGGAAAACTCTTGGAGATCGTTTAAAGCTTGAAGAAAAACTTGGCACGCTCAATGTGTCTGATACCACAGTAGGCAGCAAACAGGCAACATTCAAATTAAAGAAGGTGAGCTATATATATAATTTTTAAGATAATGCACAAGTAACTTTAGTTTTTGCATGAAAGAACAGGAACTTTAAAACCGTCAAACAAATGTCCCTCTTCATTTCTTTATAAGCTGCCAACTCTTCTGCTTCTTGCCAAGAGAATGAAAGCCTCCGGTAGTACTCTGAGTGTTTATGCCCTTATAACTCAGGCAGCACTCATAAAATCTTGTGTTCCGGTGGAAAATACTGGCTTCTATCTTTTAATAGTTTATTTGCAGACATACCATCAGAAGCTTGTGACCTTACCTGACTTCTGTGCCAGGACTGATCAGATCTTGGTCTGCAGGTCCAAATGCGGTCAGGATGCTGTAGGTGACAGGCTTGCTCTTGGTTGGTAATGTTGCTAGGTCTCAGCATGTTACAAACAGAGCGCCTAACCACCTTTGTCACTGAACTTGTGTAACACAGATCACAAGAACGAGCTCTGGTCCTGTTCTGCTTGCCAAATTCCATTTGAAGTGTGTGATTGACTGCTGGCTATCTACCTTTCCCAAAGGGTTTTGATTTCCCCTCGTAAGGAATTTTGTAGCTGGCAGACAGGTGATTACTCTGTAGTGTGGGCAGAACTAAATGCATGTGTGCATCTGCTACTGCTGTAGAACACTTCTAGCAAAAAAAAAAAAAAAAAAAATCTTTAAAATTGCTTTAGAACTGAGGAAAGGACACATTATAAAAGCTGAGGACCCATATTAATTGATACTTGAATTTGCAAAATGTACTTCAGATTAAACTGGTTTTCTTCAGATAAGCCTCTTTGCTATAATACATTTCTCCTTACCAGTGGTCAAATATGATTCTCACCTGTAAAAACTGCTGTCACAAGAATGGCTAAGTAGTAATTTTATTGTTGCATTGGGTATGCCTGAAAAAAAAAAACAAATAATGAGATTTATTGGACTATTTCTACCTTACTTGTTTTACCTGATTAGTGTCTGCAGATATCCTTTTTCATCTGTTTTTTATTCCTGTATTGCTGGAATTTAAAATGCGTTGACTGTGGAATAAGTCACGGATTCCTCTGCAGTGCTGTGTAGGATAACCATCTGGGGATTTTACCAACTGCTGTAACTGATATATCGGTGTCTTGCAGCTAATTAAATGGGCTTTGCAGGGCTTTGAAAGCACAGTCTTTTTTTAATAGTAGCTTTAAATTAGTGGTGAACAATGAACTGTCCCCTTTCACTAATAGTTTTGTGAAAATTTGGGAGTAAGGTGGAAGAAGACAGATACGGCAGTGGTTCAGAATGCCATTTTTACCTGATTCCATCAGATGTGCTATAGCTTTGAGGGGGTTTTTTAAATTACATTGCTGCTAACCTATATGGATTTTTTTCTCTGAGTGTCAACTGATGTCATTTTATTGAAATACTTACGTGGTGTTCATTTGCATTAAAAAGATTTTTTTTTTAAGTCTAATTAAAAGAAAAATAATGCATCTACAGCAGAAATCTTGTCTCCTATCGACAGAAAAGCAAAATAAGACTTACAAGTCTTCTCTGAAATAAACAGACCCTGTGTGTATATTCTGAAGCCCTAGGGAAGGGAGAGCTAGGAAGAAGTAGTCACGCTATGCAGTATGCTGTGTCTCTACACTCCTTGTCAGAGGATGAAGAGATGAAGTTGGCAAGCTAAAAAAGGGATTTTAGTGTTACTCTGATCATCAGCTTCTGCACCCCTTTCCATAAACTGCAGGTGTATTTAGGAGTGGGTAGAAAGATTTAGTGTGGGAGAGAATTGTGCTTCCATAGGATTGGTATCACTTGACTTTGTAAGTCAGTAGAATTGAGACTGAACTTGGCTGCTACAGTTGTGGTATGTTAGCAGCCTCCCAAATGCCCAGCAACAACTGTCAGATCCGGTGAAGAAATTGTTCGTCATTGATATTTCACAGTTTAGTTTTCAGGGGATTTTAGTATGGTTCCTACAGTGTGGCATCCTGTTTTCCAATTTCAGCATGCTTTATTATAGCAAATAGATATAACAAAATAGCAGGGTTTCTAAAAGACCCAAGTACTTACACTACTAGGGAGGCATAGAGGAATTTTTTAAAAAAGAACCCAAAACTTCAAATGCAAATCAAGATCATTCATTTTCAGTATACGAGCAGTAGCAGTCAACACTATATTAAATAAGATTTCTCAAGACTGTTTCAGACAAAATCTGGAAACAAAGAGAAACTACTTACATTGTCACAGTGTGGGTTTCTTGTTTCCCTATTTGCAGTGGAAACCAAAGTCAATAAATTTCAACAACATCTAAAGACCACTAGCTTTTATTACCATGATACTGGTATGGGCTTATTGCTAGGTTTGGTAAATTGGGTCATATCTCACCTCAGCCAAAATGTTGTCTGTGGTACTTTAATGGGAGATTCTGGAAGAGATGGGCTGATGTATGGACACTGCTGATTGCAGAATTAGATGCAGTGTGGATACAGCTGCGTAACCAGTAACTCTGTCACACTGTTAATGCATTTATCCAGTGCTGCCATTGAAATTGCTCTAATTCCTGGAGTATTTTATAGCATGGACAGTTGCCTGAGCTTGGCTAGTTCAAGTCTGCTAGTTCTAATTTATGCTTAGCTTGAAGACAAGCCTTAGTCTTCCAAAGAAAATAGTAGTGTATGGCTGTAAGAGCCGTTTCATCTATGTGGCATGTAAATGAAATCCTTTCAGCGTGTTTTTGATGAAGAGGAAAAACATTCATAGAGCATGTGCCACAGGAGCAGAGATTTTAAATTATTTTCATGTGGAAAGTCTTTCTGGAATTGCATACAGCATGTTAAACACTTTTTCAAGTACCTTTAAGAACACTATTTAGAAAACTTGTATGTTTCAGCAAATTTAATTAAGTGTTCTGTCTTTTTAAAATGCATTTGTGCAAATATTAGATGTTGTAATATTAGTTAACTAAAGTAGACCCTAAATAGCCTCAAATTGTGCTTTACCTTCTTAAGGGCATTAAAACATAAATTCTGGAGTGTAAATTTACAGTCTGTTGTTAGAGATTGGTTTTCATCTGAAATACATGATTTTATTCACTGTTTTTCAATATCTTTGTCTTAAATGTTTGCTATGAATTATTTGGAATGGTAATGCCTAAGGATACCCAGAATCAACAGGTACGATATAAGACAAGATAGCATGGGACCATTTACAGTAACATTTCCAGATTTCCCAAATGGAATTCTGACTTGATGCATATCACCTTATTCTTCAAGTATCTATATAAGTTTACAGGAACCTGAGTCTATTTTTATTTTAATATTCCAGACAGAGCAGCAGAAGAAACAGCAGGAAGCTGAGAAACAACATCGTCAAGAAAGGAAAACTCTTAGGCGTTCTGCTAGTCATCTCAAGAGCAAACGTGGAAGAGGACGACTGTTTCGTTGATTTATTTTATATCATTTTTTAAAGAAACTTCTTTTATCTCATTTTTCATTTGAAAAAGGGACCTTTTCAAATTGGGACACAGTACCAATGTATTTGTATTTTGATTCACTGATGAACGCAAAAACCAGAACTTGTTAAACCCTGTGTTAATTATTGAAAAGTTTATAAAAGTAAAAGTATTGACCAATGGACATTACAAGTATGGCGTGTTATAAATTCCAGTGTGAACTGTATTTGTGCAGAAATCACCAGCAACTGGTTATTGTGTAACCCTGGATGTTTTTTATATAAGAATTTATGTATACAATGAGGCTGCCTGTCTTTTATTTAACTTAAGATCTGTGGGTTTTGCTTTCTCAGATCTTTATTTGTGCTTAGATAGAAGATCAAGGGTAAGTTATTTAGTCTGAAAACTTATCTTTACAAGGGCACAACAAATTTTTCTTCTATGGTTTTTGAAGGATGACACACAATTGTGTTTTTCAAAAACTGACTTTGGCTTTGTTCTTGAGTTGCCTTAGTAGCCAGGAGGAGGTACGAATGGTGGTCATGAGGGCAATTGAGACTGCCTGATTTAGGTTCCTCTAAGTCACTCTGTAAGGAAACGTCTCTTGCCACACCAGTGCACAAAGGGGAATCTCACAAGGATAGTCTTATTAAGTTAAATTTTGTGAATATTGCCTTTACTCAAAATCCTTAGGACCAGGTTTAATATATTTCGATAAGCTAGCCATGGCTTAATGCAGATCAAGTGGTATGTGTTCACATAACAAGCACCTTAAGGCCATGCCAGTAGCTTCTGATTCTTTAAAAAGGGAAATGATTGATTCTTTTCTATGTCTTCTTTTTGATTCCCCATAGAATGCTTGTTGCTAACCGGGATACAGCATCTCTTCTTGATTTTTATCTTGCAAACCATCTTTTATTTTAGTAGTTCACTACTTAAGTAAGGAAATTAATTTTTACCTTTGATCCTAAAGGAGCTTTGCTTATTACTTTTTAAAAGGCTTTATAAATTGTCTTTTTGCAAAATCCAAGAAACTGTGAACTTTGGATCCAACAAGAATCAGTGAATCTCTCCATCACTGTAAATCTTTTAAGAGACTTGCAGGTTCTTAAGTGTCTTGCTTTATAAACCAGAGCTGATTAATCTAGACAGGTCTCCTGGACAGTATTTACTGTAGAATTTTTGCACTTATTTCAGTAAAAACTTTGGTTTCCCATAGCCAAATGCTTTTTTATTTTTTATTTAGATGGTAGAATAATCAGTCACATGGTTAAATTTATGTTTTTCTCCCTGATTTAGTTTTAACTGCTTTAATTCCTTACTGCTGTTTTTAATTATATTATTTCCTTTAATTTAAAAATGCCTTTTGTACCTGGTATTTTCATCTTTAAAACATACACTGTAATCATCACCTCTCTGTCCTTGCATTCAACTAAAGGGTGAGTCTCTCAATACCTATTTTTTACCTCTAGCTGTCAAATTTCTGCATTGTCCATGAGCTTCTCATGCTTTCTATTTAACACAGAACTATCCAGAATTCCAACGTCAGTCTCACCCGTGCTGCATGTCAAGAAGTACCCTTATTACTTCTCTTTAGCCACTGAGAAAATTTAGTGCAGTTATGGTTGCTCCAGGATATGTCTCTCTTTCTGGAGTCTTTGTCTTTTGATAACATTCAAACCTTTGAAATCCAAGTGCAATGACAAGTTAAAATTTGTACTAGTGCAACATCTTTCCCCTGGAGCATTGTGTTATCTCTTAGAAATTACCTGCATGCAATTCAGGTGCATTCACTTCAGCTACACGGCTGTACCAGACATGGAAAGATTAATGGTGGAAACTTGCTGCGATTCTGGTTGATACAGGGAGAATTGGGGATTAGGTGGACAGAACTGGCACTGTAAGAACAGAAATTTTGAGGAGTTTGCTCCTTCTCATGGTAGGCCTAAATCCCTTTTATGTTTGATCAAGAGGTAGACGTGCATTTATGGTTTAAAACATCCTTATTTGAGCAATGATTTTGTTGGCTGTCAAGAGCAGTAAAAAGAAATCTGGTTCATCTGCAGGACAGTAGTGAACAGGCTTTGAAATGGTTAACTTTCAGCTTAAAAAGCATGTCTCTTCTGTTTTGAGATTCTCATGACTGACACCCGTTTTGGTGAGTGTATGCTTTGTTTTTCATGCACTTATAGAGTACCTTGTTATGATAATACTGATAATGTATTTAGGTTGGCGCCTGTATGATTAGAGGAATATACCTCATACTGCTAGAGAGAAGGCACGTGCAAAATGCGCACTGTTTATTTCACATAAAGGATATTTGGGATATAATTTAAACGGTGCTTAAATGTACTAGGCATACATTACAACTGGTTGTGATGTGCTCCTCCAAGGAGGGAGACTGTACTGCCTTGTAAATTCATCTGCTTGTCTTTGCCCAGGAACAGCTGCCTTGTGGACGGTTCTTTGTTCAACAGTTTCTTCATTTGTGCACTGGATTGCTCAGGGCTTGCATGAGACCCTGGTGGAACAGGACATTGGTGAAGGTGAAGAAGAGGCAAAGCTCTCTGCGCTCTTCATCTTAGCTGTGACTGAATTTGTGCTCTACTAGATAACCAGTGGCTGATGTACATTTTGAAAGACTAGAGAGAATTAAACCAGGTCTGTAGTGCCAAAGGTGTTTATCCTGCTGCAGCCATATTCCTGAAGGAAGGACATGTCATTCTAATACAGGCAGAGGGATACCCAGCATGTCTCTAAAGCAGGAGGATAGTATATAATTTAAAAATTCATAAATTAATTGAATGAATATTTAATCTCAGGCTACTTTTTCCCACAAACCAGCAGCAGTTAGAACCAGTGATACCAGAAAAGTGGATTTCCTAGCCTTGATCTGACTATTCAAGGTTTGAAAGAGGTCGGTGTTCTTTGTGCTGCTCGCTTCAGTCAGAAGTGTTCAATGTTTGCATTTTGCAAATAGTGAGGCATGGCTCTCCAGGGTGTCCAGCTCTGGAACGCAGGTCAGCTATAGTTGAAGGGCTGTGCCAAGCTGCCTGGCACGCATTTGAGCCCAAGAGCTTTTTTGGTGAAATAGGGACGAAGAGTCCTTGCAAGCCTGGCTTTTGAGGCATCAGGGAGCAGCAAGAGTGGGCAGCTCTGTGGGGAAAGGCAGGCTGGGAGCTCGGGGTGACAAGGCAGGCAGGGGCAGTGACCCCCCTGACAGGAGGTGCAGTCCTGCAGTTATGGAACAAGAGCAGCAGTAGGGTGACAGCAGTGAGCTTCAACCAACAGACCAGACGGACGAGTCCGTAACGACAAGGCAGGTCCAAGGTCAAGCGAGCAGGTCAGGATCAGTGAGGTACTTGGGCAGGCGTGGACACGCCTGTGACATAGCGCTGGTGAGGACCAAGGGTGATGCAGCTGCCAAGCAGAGCGGGGGCAGGCCTTTGGCAAGGCTGCTCAGAGCTCTGTCTCGCACATCTCTTCTCGTAGCAGTCTGGTCCCCAGTTGTTTGGCCATACTGTTACCAGAGCTGGCTTTCAGCACAGCCAGCCAAACCCTTGGCAAGGTCGGGGAGCCATAGCAGAGCCCCAAGGTCTGGCATAAACCGTGTTTAGATTCTTGAGATTGATAAAGCAGGTTAATGTCCTTGAACAGCTATTTGGGGGAAGATTTGAGAGCTTCAGTAGAAGCTGACATACTAATGCAACATCATTGCAATCAATTAACTTCATAATGCAACCAAAGCAGGCATTTCTTAGGTATTGACCTTTTTTTCAGTTAACAGCACTTCATTTTCCACCATAGGAATCAGTATTGATCCAGTATTGCCATTCCTTGAAGCTGGAACAGCTCCGTGGACCCCTTTTGACATTGAAGGTTCATACTCAAGGTTAAGTGTGATCAGATGCTGTAGCTTCATGGAAACCCTGATTGTTTCATATGTATGACAACTTAGTGGTGACAATCAGTTTAAAAACTCCTTATAAATTTACAGATAGTGGTTAAATATGAGTAAAATACTAGAGAAAGAAAAGACCTGGATCTGATCCAGGTCTGTCACCTATACTTCAGTAGGTATTCTCTTCAGTATTTTCTTACTCCACAAGTAATATAGTCTACTTCAGATAGGCTATTAGTCATTGAACAAACATTGAACCAAAATTATTTGTGTAATGTTCTTTCAAAAATGCTATTACCAAGCCAAGAAGCATGCTGTGTTCTTGTGGCTGTATAATTGTCTGAAATGGAGAGCATCCATCAGTTTATACAAAACAATGAATTTACTGTAGTGAAGTATGATTTAAAATATCCCCTGTATAAATAGCAGATGTGTGTAAAATGTATATACACACATTTTTATACTCATGGGGTTTGTTTATGTACAGAGCTTAAAGTAGGTATGATTTGACATTACCAGTTTCAGGAAGAAATGTGAGGGAGAGGGTACCAGTTTTCACATTACTCCATCTTGCTTTGCAGCAGCCTTTTACATTTGTGTTCTCCATGTTTCCAGATGGGAAAATGAGTAATGGACTTGAATTCCAGGAAGAAAGTACCAACTTTCAGATGCAGACCGACTGAAGCAATACAACAGCTTACCTGGGGAGGTTGTGCAATGTGCACCGAAAGACTTGCAATGTCAGATTAAACATCTGCAGGAACCCCACAGGTATAGTGAAGCCTGCCTTGAGAAGGAGGAGGAATGGATTAATGAACTTTAGAGGACCTCTCCATCCCAATGACTCTATGAATGGTTGTAGGGCATAAGGAAGAGGCGTGCAGCATTAATTGACTGGTGTCATTTTCCCCCTTTGTCCCATCCTTCAACTGAACTCCTCACTAGTTCTTTTTATCTCTTTCATAAAGTTTAAATACATTTTTTGGCTTGTTTCCACAGCTAATATTTTTTGTCTGATCTTGGGAAGTATGGGGGTTTTAAGCTGAATGAAGCGCATAAATCTATTAATAAACCTTAGCTCTTGATTGTTATCTCTGTGTTTCAAAGCCCATTTTACTCAACAACTGATTCTTTATGATGAACACAAAGAATAGTCCTATCACCAAAATGACAACTTATAGTACAGCCTGCAGAAAAGAATCAGATTTATCAGAGCTTGTACTTCACACAACCGGAGGAAAAAGAATTCCTGCATTTTAAAGACTCTGTAGTAGATTACTGTAAACCTTGCAACGTAGTTCGTAAGTCATTCTGTCTACAAAATGGGGTATTGCTGATTTCCACACCCATTCCACCACCTACAATTTAGGCATTCTCTCTCTGCCCCATTCCGCTCTCTGATGATTCTGTTTGTGTTAACTGCATTTTAGTATCGCTTCCTTCCTCCTC